ACTGGAATACATGGTCACTCTCTGCCTCTGTGTGTGTGTGTGTGTGTAAGGACCGGAATACATGGTCACTCTCTGCCTCTCACCCACACCGTCAGGAGGGGTGTAGCCCTCCCCCTAGGAAGTCTGCATTGAGCAGCTTATAGGATTCCTTGAAACAAGGAATTTAAGGAATTCCCTGTTTAAATGATCTAAAAAGGCTGTTTTCAACCACAAGGAATCACGGGTGTGTTTGCTGCTGTGTTAAAAGCCCCGCCAGGCGGGGTCGGGGAGGGTTGAAACGGGCCCTGCGGCCGGGCACTGCCGGAGCGTGGGAGGTGACATAGTCCGCAGCGCTCGTGCGTTCGGTGTGTGGGCTGTTTCGGTGCTCTCTTCACGCTGCACCTCTCCCGTCAGGAAATGGGGGAGCGTCTGCGTGGGGGGTGTTCCTGGGAAGAGGGTTGAACGCACGGGTCGCCAGTTTGGGAATGTGGCAGAGGGGCAGGTCTGGGCAGAGTGCTGGGAGGGAAGTCCGCCAGGAACATCACCCCGAGAAGTGAGTGACTGGCTGGTTTAGCGAGTCGCCGCCTATAAACAGACAGCGCTCGTGTGTTATGAGATGCACTTCCCTGCCCGGATGCCAGGAAAGGCCCCAGCTGGCTTGGCCCCGAGCCCAGTTAAAGAGGGTGTGGGAGGCCGTTTGAATTCCATTTTGCTTGCAGGAGATAAGACCTAGTAAACCGGAGATTAAGGACTTGGGGGAAATGGCAGAGAAGACCATCCTGAACCCCCCTGAGGTGCAGCCAGAGTAAAAAGACACAGGAAAGCTGAGTGAGGTCCTGTGGCAAGGACATGCCCTCTGGAAGGGTCACTGTGGCCCTGTCTTTTGTCGCTCAGATTCGACTTCTGTGCGCGGAGCTTTTAAAGCAGGAGGCTGGGGCACAGGCAGCAAGGCAATGATGCAATTTTAAAGTAATTCAAAATGATTTTCATGCTCTTGGAAAGCAGTATTTACACTCAGCTATAATAGTGAAAACGGCGGGTAGGCTTCTGGGCAAACAGCCGAAAATCAACTGCGACTTTTCCTGGGGTAGCTGCCCGCGAGTGGCAGGCGCCATTCAGAACCACTTCCCCGTCATTCCGCAGACACGTAGGGGGTTCCTGCGGGGAGTTCTGTCCTCTCTCTCCCAGGTGCCAAGTTAATTGTGGAAATAAGGTAGATGATTTTAAAATAGCATTTGGTAAATAGCACAAACTGGATAGAAGAAAAGAAAGAAATTTATTCTAAAGGAATGTGTTCTATGTCATGAAGATGTTATTGGGAATGGGCAGTCACCAAAGGAAGCTTAAGAAAGGAAGAGATTTGATCAAAGTCGTGTGTTATGAATATTAATCTGTAGGATGTATCAGAAGAAGGAGGGATAGGGAGGAGAAAGACCGATCAAAAGACTGTCTTTCCTCCGATCCACAGACCTGAGTGGTTTCCCAGCGCCTCCTGAATTGTGCACGGCTTGGCACTAAGGCCCTTGTACTGTGGTCATAATGTATTTCGGGCTCTGCCCAGCCCCTGCGCTGTAAGAGGCTCTCACTAAACTGGCCTGCTCCCTGTCCCGAAACAAACTAAACAAGTCACATGCTTACCAACGTCTGGGCTGATGTTGTGTTTTCTTCTTTCCCGAAAATGGCCACTCTCTACCCATTAAATATTCATTCATTCATTTGTGGTCAGAGCTATTTTAAGATTTGGGGATTGACCCGTAGGATGCAAGCTGTTAATTTACGTGGAATTAGTTGCACAGAGGAATAGTTGTCATTCAGTGTGGTGAGTATAGTGACAGGAAACTCTGTTCCTGGGGGGGGTCTCGGGAAGGTGTACCTTGACCTTGCCTTAGGCGATTGGTGGGAAGGGAAGGCCCCTCACAGAGGTGATGCCTGTCCACAGCTGTAGGACGAATAGTTTTATTGGTTAGGTGTAGAACAGAAAAGACAGTGGGGGACAGTATTTCAAGCCGAGAGAACAAGCTTAGCAAAGGCACTGAACTACAAAACAGGGAACAGGTTAGGGAAATGCAAGCAGTTCGGTGTTCCTAGAATGAAAAGTCCGAAGTTGCACGCTTTCAGCGGAGGAGTTCTTTCTTCGTAGAAGAGCTTATGCAGAAGTCCTGCGCAACAGCTGGGCTCGGAGCCACGCCCCGATCGCAGTGGGGGCTTCCCCCAGCACGCCCGTCCGCTGTGTGTCCGCAGCGTCCGACTCGGTAGACACGCGCGTCCCAAGCACTCTCTAGGGAGAAAGAGAAGGCAGGGCTTCCTTCTACTAGTTAGCACGGCCTTGGTTTCCTTTCCTCTGCTATTGTATTTAATCCTCATGCACGCAGATCCAAGTGGAAATAATTCTTTATAGAATTCTAGACAAAACCAATTCTAGACAATGCCTCGTTTTGTAGAAAATACGAGGCATGCATTTATAAATAATGTTTTCCAGGGAACCGGATTTCCCTGGGCATGTCCCTCTCCCGTCACCACGGATGGCCCCAGACTGACCAAGGACTGGGGGTCAGGTTCAGTCTGGCTTTGCTGCACACAAGCCTCAGACACCCGAGAAGCCCGTTGCCCCTTCCCCGGCTCCATTTTCCTCCTCTGAAGGGGAGTGAATTAAAGTGCCTGATTTCTTTTTTCCCTGAGGAAAAATTAGACTCGGACACAGTACAAGGCCAAAGAGGTTAAAAAAAAATCCCTGTCATGTTATAGAGCCTGGATGATACACACATTTTAAGAGCAAGTCAGGCAGTATAAATAATAAATGTGAACTAGTAAACTGAATCGGGGCGGTTAGAATGGATAAAATAGCTTTGCTAAAATTGAGGTTCTAGAACTGATTCTGTTTGGCTGTCTAGTAAGATTGGTAGGCTCCAGCCTGGTTTGAAAATACTTGCAATATGATCTCTCTAATTTTCAAGTAGATCAATATCTTTTGAAAATATTTTAGGCAAGAAGCAATCTATAGTGTTGTGAAAGTGAAATATTTGTAAGACATTCAGGTTTAGAATAAAAGTCAAAACTATTTTCCCATACATGCCAAGTCAGGTGAAATACCCCAACCTGTACAGGAAACTTTGAATGAAATCTCTGGTTATATTTTCAGTTACAAAAGTGGGAAATGAAGAGTCTGCGTGAACACTGTGAGAAAAAAACTTGTGAGTGAATTTTAGGCCCAAATAAGAAGTTTGATATATTTTATTTATCCGTCCTTAGACATGGTAGAGACAAACTATACATAATAGGAACTGTTCGCTACTTTTTCCTGAATATAACCTTTATAAATTTCCACAGAAAAGATCATAGGTCATGGCCTCGTGTAATATCAGAAGGAACTACCACCTTTTTTCTTAATGTCTTGGGCCTTCATCAGTTCAGATAACAGACACTGTTACAACCAGGAGGAAAATGGTTATGTTTATTTAGGTTCATCTATTCAAAGATGCAAACTCTCCCTCTCCCCCCGCCAGTTTACCCCTGTTCTTTTCCAGTTGTAAGGCAGGTGGAGGATACATTCTCGCCTCTGCCCAGACGGGAGTTTCACCCCTCAGTGCTGCTGTTTTAGTTATTTAAGTCGAGACGATGATCATTTCCGTCCTGAAAGGGAAGGATGGCTTGGATCACCGTCTGTAAAGTCCTGTATTACAGAGCACTTTTGGAAGGGTTCCTTCCTTCACTGCTGTTATTGTTTGGTCTCCCTTTATTTTTTAGACTTTTTAACCTCTCTTATTCTGCTTTTCGTTTCTCAGTGTGCAAGCAGTAGGCATAGTTGTGGTGATGAGGAAATGGTGAATTTGGGACCCTGTGCAGGGGACGAAATTTTCAGTCCATTATGAAGACGTCGCTGTTCAGATTGTCAGGAACAGAGAGAGGTTCGCGTTGGTCACCCTGGGACCCCAGTCACCGGAGTTGGGTGGCGGGTTCGAAGCAGAAGGCATGTCCGCGTTAGTCTCCGTGCACGCCAGCGTTTCTGGATCAGTTGCTGTGATGAGTACGCACTGCAGTCGCGGGCAAAACCAAATTATTTCTCATCTGTAAAAGAGGGACTGATAGTAACGGCTCTCTGATAGGTTGCACGTGTAAATCCCTCAGCCTTGCGCATAGTGGGAACCCAGTGCTAGCCATCATTATCGACATCGCTGACATTCCAGTGCTGGGGCCATGAGAAATGGTGAATCATGGTTCATTACTACTCTCGGTTTTGCTAAAGGTTCCTAGTAAGACCTCGCTGTGAAAGGGCCTTAGCGCCCTCCTGTCACTCTGCGGGGACAGCCCATAAGCTTTGACACAGGTGCGGGCGCTGGACACCGTCTGTGCCATTCACGGCCCTCATTCCTCGTGTGCAAGCAGCTCTGGGCATGTTTCAGAAACTGCGCCAGAAAAAATGGTTTTTTAGGGTTTCGAAAACTAATCTCACTTGTGGAAGAAAGCGTGCCATTTTATTTAAGTATCTATATAAGTTTTCCCTGAAAATGTATTTTATGAACTATCCCTAAGTGCTTAATTCTAAAACAGAAGAGAAGTTTGGTGATTTTACTGCTTTTATGTAAGAAAACCTTGTAAGAGAACGCTGTAGCTGAATCTTTCTGGGTGACTTTTATTTCCACTTACCTTACCGAGCGTTGGGCAGGACTGGAGCTTGTGAACCAGTTTCCGACGTAAAAGAATCTTTTATTTGTGTGGGTGTTCTCTTTTGTTTTCCGAACGCCCAAAACAGGTACACACCTGGGTGTGATTTGTACATACTTCAAGTTAGCTAATCTACATACTCACCTTTCCGGATGTTTTGGTTTTCTTTTTAAAGAGAAGCTTCCGGAAAAGGGGTTGGCAATATTTTACCATTGTATATATGCTTGACCTCTGCGTTTCTTCTACTTTGCTCAGGTCACAAGCTCCTGTCTTTATTCACGAAAAGCAGAACTCGATCAGAAGGTGGCCGTGGCGAGCTCCCTATGCGGTTTCATCTCCTTCTCCTTTTGGTTAACCAGGTGCCCGCGGAGGGAGGTTCGGAGCAGCAGACGGACTCCACCAAGGGGAGATGCCTGCGGAGGACTGTCAGCGTCCCTTCCGAGGGTCAGTTTCCTGAGTACCCACCAGAGGGCGCCACTAAACTGGGTAAGCTACTCAAAGGAAAGACATTCCTAGCTTTTATCCGGTAATTAGTGGGCTTGTTTTTGAGTTGTTACACTCAAACAAAACATCCTGCATTTCCCGTTAAGGAAGTGCATTGAAAGCTAATATGTTATCCAAGAGTTCAGAGGTCACCAGAAAGTTCTATTCTTTATAACCCAGTGGCAGCAAAGTGACTTTACAGAAATACAATTGATCTGTGCACTGTGAGTTTGCTGTATACAGTCCTGGACAAGTTGCGTCGTTTCTGGGCTTGCTGCGTGGCTCTAAATTTGGAAAACCCATTAGGTGATCTTGTTGAGGTTCCGGGGTTCGGCGGGGAGCCGGCATTGTGCGGACGCTTAGCACTGAGTGGTTTGCGTCCTGGTCACGTAGGTACTGCTGTCTTGTGTAATGTAATCTTAGAGCAGGCTTCTCCCGCTGAGCTGATGTGTTAGATCCCATGCAAGTTATGTTCGGGACTGTGATTAGAGCGGGTGACAGGAGAGAGAAATTTGAAAAAACACCCACAGGAGTTGTTACACATTAAAGGAATCAGTGTCAACATCCAAGCAGCCCTTTCCCTGTGTCCTGCCCGGTGTGTTCTGCTTCGCGTTTCGCACACTTCCCGGTGGATGTACAGGTACTTAGACAGGCCTCGTCATTTAAGGAAACATAATTGACATTAAAATAATGGAAGGACTTGAAATATAGGAAGTGTTGTGTTGTATTATTGATTCTAGACATGTCGTCATAGACATTTGCTAAGTAGATAAAACAACCATTGATTTTTTGTATGTTGGTTAATATGGATAATTCTAGGATTTTGCTTGTGTTTTTTGAGTGTTAGGTTTTGGTCTTTTCATTTTTGCCTTTTTGTTCATTTCTCTTCATATTTTAAATGGAACTCAGACATCTTAGTCAGAACTTGAATCCTTCCTTTCTGTTTTTTGTCCTGTAAGAATTGTCGGTTTTCTAGAATTTAGTCAGGTTAGCAAACATGTTCCTCCCAGGAGTCGCACTTGGAGGAACAAAACCCTCCTCTCACTGCATCTCCTTTGCACGTCTCTGGCGTGTGTCGACACCAGTGCGGGTGTTGGTGTGAATGGCCCTGCCAACCTGTCTGGGTGTGGCCACTGCGGCTGCGTTTCACGTGCGAGCTCTGTGTGAATCAGGCTGGTTCAGAGTCACCTTCTTTTGACTTTTTTGGTGTCACTGTTTACAACGTTTTGTCGATGACTGTCTTGTTGATGACTGTCTTGTCACTTCTCTAAGAACCATGACAAGCTTTGACCCACACAGGAAGTGCATTCAGGGTCTGAAGAGTGATCATAATTTCATAAAAGAGAGAACTGTATTGTAAATTGTTAAACATCTCCAACATCCCAGGTGCCGGTCCCAAAGACAGAGTAAGATGAGGCGGCCTCAGTGCCAAGTCCAGAGCCAGCCACCTTCTGTCCCGGCCAGTGAGTCTCGACTCACTGCAGTCCGTGGTCATTTTTGGAGTGGGTGTCCTAAATGAGCACTGAAAGCTATTGGTCATAAATATTAGAGGGGAAAGACTACTTTTGGAGCCATTTTTTCTTACATGCCAGTCTAATGTTGACTTAGATGGTGAGTCTCTTGTTCTATTTTTATCTCCTAGTGCTGCGTCTTTAAGCAGAACTTCCTGCTGTCAGATACTGAATTGAATAATTGTTGCGTATGTTACATTCTGTGCCAGTCCCTGGGGTGAAAAGGTGTGCAAGATAACACTCCTGCCTCTGGAAGATTCTTATGTTAATTAGGACGGCAGATTACTGACGGCTGTCCGTGGTACGTGTTATTATTGTGGTACCCGGTGTGGCTCTTACTGATTTTTAATTTTAAACAAACCCATTTGTTGATGCAGCAAATAGTTACTGACTGACAACTATGTGCCACATACTATTCCAGGCACTGGAGATACAACGTGAACAAATAGACGAAACTCTCTCCCCTTGTGAAGCTTACATTCTGTTGAGCAATGGCAGACAATAAGCAAGAGTAATGAGTAAAATATATACCGTGCTGGATGGTGATAGGTGCAAAGAAAAAAATAAGTAGGGAATGGAAATAGAAAGTGTCAAGGAAGCGTAATTTTAGCTAAGGTGACTGAAGAATGCCCCACTGTTCAGTGACATTTGAGTGAAGACCCGATGACAGTGCGGGTCAGGCACGGGGCTGCCAGGGAGCGAGGAGCTCCAGCCCGGGAGCAGCTGGGGTGGAGGGGGATGTGCCCGGAACGGTCCAGGAGCAGCAGCGAGGCCAGTGGGGCCGGCGTGGAGTGAACGGGGGAGGGGGGCCCGCAGCAGGTGACGTCACCCAGGAGGTGGAGAAGGCCTGCGTGCCCTCGGAAGGGCTGCGGCTTTTATCCTGGGAGGTGGGGGAGCCTCTGGCCTCTAGACCAAGAGGGCCGATGCAAGTGTCGGGGTTCCGAGGCCGCCTGGAGTGCTTGCTGTCTGTCGCAACGGTCCAGACGAGGGGTGACAGGCCCAGGCCACCGTGGTGCGGCCAAGAGGCTGAGCAGTGACCGGGTCCTGGGCGTACTCGAGGGGGGGCCCACAGAACTTGCTTGCTGGATCCGATGTGGGAAGTGAGAAACAAAATGAGGGATTCCGGCCGGAGCGGCAAGAAGAATGCGGCTGTCACTTTTTAAATTGGGAGAGACTGTGGGAGAAGCAAGTTGGAAAGTAGCATTAGCCAGGAGCTAAATTTCAGGCACATTAGGTGTGAGGCTCTGACGAGGCCCCCAGGTGGAAATCTGAGAGTCTGGAAACGCCAACGCAGGGTTTTCGCGGAGCTGCTGTTTGAAGCCTGGCGTGGGCTTGAACGAAGTCACCAGGGAGCTGTGTGTAGGTCCAAGAGAGGAGTCTGAGACCAAGCCCCGGCACGTCGGGAGGTTAGAAGACAGGGAAGCACCAGCAAGGGATGGGCCAGAGAAGGAGGAGGAAAATTCCAGAGGTTTGTTTCCAAACAAGTAGGCCGAGTCCAGGGTGTGCGGGGAAGCCCTTCTGTTTCTGTGTGGTTCTCACACTTCCCAACCTCTGGGTTCCTGTCGTTCTTCTCCAGGAGAAGAGGGGCCCCCGGAGGGCCCATCAGGCTGTGCCGATGTAAATCCGTAGCGTCGGTGTTGGTGTCAGGAGGGACACACTCGGCTACGGAGAGATGCCAGCTCACCAGAGACAGGCCCCCTTTGCCCTACTGCAGAGAAGTCGTAACTGGGAGGAGCTCCGTGAACACACAGGGGCTCTGGAGGGCTTCCACCCACAGAGATTTCACATTGGTGGGGAAACTTTTGAACATAAAAAAGGTAGAAATGCCTGTATTTGGGTGCCACGCGTTCAAGTAGAAATTAAGACATTTCACAATATCTACAAGCAAATTCACAATGAGGAGGAACCCAGTAAATGTCGAGAATTCGGAGACGTGGGAGGGAGCGGTGAGGTCGAGAAGGCCCTCCCGGCATCCTCGGACTCCCACGCTCAGCAGCTGCTGGGCTCCCCGGGCACCGACACTCGTGTTTACCGGCATCTGGCCCGGGTTTTGTTACACCGGTTTTTCCCCACTGAAAATGAGATTGTTTGTAAGGCCTATGACTACCATATCTAAACCGCCCATTTCCAGATTTGGAAAACCTAGAAAAAACTATTTTGCCTTGCTGACAACATCCAGATTTTAATTTAGCCGTCAGAAAATAAAAATTTTTGGCCTTGGCTGGTGTAGCTCAATGAATTGAGCACTGGCCTGGGAACCACAGGGTCGCCAGTTCAATTCCCAGTCAGGCAGGTGCCTAGGTTGTGGGCCAGGTCCCCAGTAGGGGGTGCACGAGAGGCAACCACACATTGATGTTTCTCTCTCTTTCTCCCTGCCTTCCCTTCTCTAAAAATATTTAAATAAAATCTTTTAAAAAATAAATAAGAAATTAAAAAAATAAATAATTTTCAAATTTAAACATGCAAAGCCTGATTTATCGGGTTTTCAAGAGGAAATTATTTCTTCAGGTGGTCAGGTCCTTGAATGCACTCGATACTGGGAGGTGTATTAATTGACCACATAAACTAGAACTAGCAGTGAATATTCATTTTCAATGGAAATGTAATGTATACGAATTCAACTTTTAAAAAAGCTTCCAGATACCTTAGGGGAAAGCTGAGCAGTGGACAACATTTTTGTGAAGTATACACTTATATACATTATAGTGTGTCTTTGACACATCCTAGCAAGTCTTAGGAAAGACTACATCAAAAGTCTTTGAGAGTCAAAGTTAGCCACCCCAGATACTCATGTTTACGAAAAATAAGAAGTCGAGCAAAATTTAAAATATCACCACCAAAGAAAAAGGGAAACCAAACTGGAAAAACTGAGGGAAAGGCAACCGTGTAGTTATGTTTTCCTACATTTATTGATGTACGTGGTAAAAAGTTGAGGAAACTTTGAAGAAAGTAAATATTAAAGCAGAATATTTTCTGTAGGGCATTCCTAAAATTATTATAAAGGATAATTTTTATCGGCCAGGAATTTTAGAGGATATTTGTTATTTGTATTGGTGTTGAGTTTTTTCTTTTTTGCTCAGTCTGTCCACCAGCCCTTTATCCAGCACCCTCCCCACGCCCACCCCACCCCCCAGCAAAGAAGACCCTGAATAAACTCTCTTGAGGCTTTTAGTTGGGTAGTTTCGAGATTTCTTAAAAACAGTAAGCCAGTGTATAGTTCTCCTTTGGAACCTGTGACATCCTACAAGACACACGTGGTGACAGCGATGGTAGCGGTCCGGCAGAAAGGGGCCGCATCCGGGTCGACGCAGCCACGCCCGATCTGTTTTGCTGTAACACCGCACCGGTTCTGTCACACCGGTTCGCTGTAACAGACCACCGCGCAGTGCAGAACCGCACGGCGAATCCCTCGGGGCTCGTGGGGGAAGGGCCAGGGCGCGGTACTTGGAAACCGGGTCGGTGACGTGTGCAGGCAGATAGAAACTACGTGCT